ACACACACACACACATGAGTGTAGACAGTAATGACAAATCATTTACCTGTAAGAGCGGATAGACTTAAAGTTTTCCTCGTCGTCAAAGTGCATGTTGCCAGCGTTCCACGAGTGAGCGATTTCGCCCCCATTGCCATCGAAGTCATGCTCGCAGTTCTGGTGGGAGCCTGGACGGAAAGATGATTGAATGAATGAATTAATGAATAAGTGAATGAATGAAAGAAAGAATTAAGTAATTAATTAAAGAATAAACGATTGAATGAATGGCTGAAAGACTGAATGACTTAACGAATGAATGAATGAATGAATGGATGAATGAATGAATGAATGAATGAATGAAGGAATGAATGAATGTCCAGAGAGATGTACGGATGAAGGAATGCACACCTATAGCTCAATCATTCAGCGATGTATCAATCATACAATCAATCATCAGCCACTCCGACATCCATCGCCTGCCCACTCCTTCAACATCTCAACCCCAGACGAATCAAGCACTTCCAACTAAAGAAAAGTCCCTATTGTAAGGAACCAATAATATAGGACTATCAAAAATACACACTTAACCACAAACACACGCGCAGACACACATAAAGACGAACACACACACACGCACACACACACACAAACACACACATACACACACACATACAAACACATACACACATACACACACATATACACATACACACATACACACACAAAAACACACATATACACACATACGCACACACACACATACGCACACACACACAAATACACACAAAAAACACACATATACACACACAAAAATACACACACATACATACAAACACACACACACACACACACACACACACACACACACACAAACCGACGCTCAACGGCACCAGAGTATGAACGAGTGAAATACGAGTAATCTAGGTGGTAAAGTACCAAGTACTCACTCACCATCACGGCTACTCTCCTACCATTACGCACGTACATGCACGTGTTGCCCCTCCTCCCTCCCCCCCCTGTTTTTTTTTACTCCCCCCCTCCCCCTGTTTTTTTGACTCCCTCCTCTCTCCATGTTAACATGAATATATATTTTTTCCCTAACTTTGCGTCTTACAAAAGGTTCAGTTACACCAGGGCTTGTTAACTTTTTATATCCAGCGTCCACATTTGCCACGCACAATAGACAGACAGACAGACAGACAGACAGACAGACAGACAGACAGACAGACAGATAGACTGACAGACAGACAGACATACAGACAGACTGGTAAATAGACAGACAGACAGACAGACAGACAGACAGACAGACAGACAGACAGA